AAAAATTTCATAATTGGGTTCCGACCCCGATATCAATAAAAGTAAATTTGTGGTCAAACTTTAAAATCTTTAAGCCTTTAAGTTTCTAGTTTTCGTCACTAGCGATAATTCAAGCTAGGGACCTCCAAATTAAATTCTGGGCATATGCCCAAGTTCTAAATCACGATACAAACCTACCAGAACTGTCAAAATAGTGATCCGAGTTCGTTTGCTCAAAATTTGGACCAAAGTCAACTCAGTTGAGTTTTAAAGCTCTTTTTAACATTTTAATCTATTTTTTCACATAAAATCTTTTCGAAAAATTATACGAATTACGCACGCAAGTCGAGGAATAATAAATAGTACTTTTCGAGATCTTAGAATATATAAATAAATGTTTAAATTAAATATGACATTTTAGATCATCACAGGGTATGGCGTTTCCCCTGTGTTCGTTTTTGGCGTTGTTCGGTAGGCCCAGAGTACTTCTGGTAATATCTCCGGTCATAGTCCCTTGGCGTCTTCGAGCTTCTTTTTTATGATGTTCAGTATTGACTTGTTGGAGGATTCCGCTTGCCCGTTACCCGTGGGGTGGTAAGGCTTTGACAATATTCTTTTGATGTGCCATTTTTCAAAAAAGTTGGCGACTTTCTTTCGTGCTAATTGGGGTCCATTGTCGCTGTTGATTTCTTTGGAGGTCGAAACGGCATACGGTGTTCTTCCATATGAAGGTAATTACTTCATGGTCGCGTATTTGGGCGAATGTTCCTTCTTCCACCCATGTAGAGAAATAATCAGTTAAAACCAAGAGAAATCGTACATTACCTCATCCGTTCAGGAGGGGCCCCACGCTATCCATTCCCCATTTGATGAAAGGGCAAGGGGAAGTTACTAAGTGTAGATGTTTTCCTGCTTGGTGGATCATTAGGGCGTACTTCTGGCATTGCTCACATTTTTTCACAAAGTCTGCGACCTCCTTTTTCATGGTGGGCCAGTAGTATCCTGCTCGTATGAGGCACTTGACCAAACCTCGATTGCCGGAGTGAGCTCCACAGTGGCCCTCATGTACTTCTTCAAGGACGTGCCGCGTCTGATTTGGGCCCAAGCATTTCGCTAGGGGGCCGCCATATGTCCTTTTGTACATGTCGTTGTGGACGATGTTGTACCTGGCCGCTTGCATTCGCAGCTTCTTGGCCTTTTTTTAATCATTAAGGAGTATGTCGTCCTGCAAATATGTAATAATACGGTTGCGCCAGTCCCAAGTTAGGTTTATGGTTCTTACCTCGATTTGGTTTATCGATGAGTTGAGGAGGTGGACCATATTTTGGTCTCTGGTTGTGATGTTTTTGGTGGCTGGTGCTTATTTTGCGAGGCCGTCCGCCTCGATATTCAGCGCTTGGAGGATCTGGTCGAGCTGACATTCATCAAACTAGGGTAGTAGTTTGTAAATTTCAGTCTGGTATTTTTGTAACCTTTTCTCATTAATTTGGAAAGTCCCTGTGACTTGGTTAACCATGAGCTGAGAATCGCAATACAGCCTTAGCCGCTTCGCCCCGTATTTGAGTACTAGTCTTAGTCCTGCAATTACGGCCTCATACTTGGCTTCGTTGTTAGTCATGTCCGAGCACCTAATCGACTAGCGAATCACTTTGCCTGTTGGGACTTAGAGTACGAGTCCCAGCCCAGACCCCGACGTGTTAGATGCACCGTCGGTGTATAGGACCCATAGGTCGTGTATTTGGGAAGAAGCGTGGGCATCTTCCTTTTTGACTTCGGGCAGTATATGCTCACTGAAGTCAGCGACGAAGTCGGTGAGGACCTGAGACTTTATCGTCGTTCGCGGCCGATATGTAATATCGTACTCGCTTAGTTCGATGGCCCATTTGGCCAATCTGCCTGAAAGTTCGGGTTTGTGTAAGATGCTTCTTAAGGGGAAAGTAGTGACGACCGAGATGGGGTGGCATTGGAAATACGGTCTAAGCTTCCGTGAAGCTACGACCAAGGTCAGAGCCAGTTTTTCAAGGTGGGGTTACCTCGTCTCGGCGTCGACTAGTTTCTTGCTGATGTAATAGATGGGAGATTGCATACCTTTATTTTCTTGTACTAAGACTGCGCTCACAGCTACTTCGGACACGGCGAGATAGATGAGAAGAGGTTGTCCTGGTTCCGGTTTTGAGAGCAACGATGGCGAGGACAAGTACACCTTTAACTTCTTCAGTGATTGGACACACTCATGGGTCTATTGGAGGCCGTTCTCCTTTTTGAGTACGCCGAAGAACTTGTGGCACCTATCGGAGGATCGCGAGATGAACCTTGACAGAGTGGTGATACGACTAGTTAGCCTCTAGACTTGCTTTTTGGTGGTCAAGTGCTCTGGTATACCCTCGATGGCCTTGATTTGGTCGGGATTGACCTTGATACCCCGCTACGACACTAGGAAACCCAAGAATTTTCCTAAGGCCACGCCGAATGCGCACTTTTCGGGGTTAAAAATGAGCGACCAAATAGGACGGCCATGCAATTTTTACAATCATAGCTACCCAAGACCCAAGGGGCAGACAAGGGAATATAGTCCAGCCCAGTCCAAATACTATAATTAGCCCAAAGGAAATAAAAGAAAAAGAAAAAAGAAAAGAAAAAAAAAGGCAATGAAGATACAACCATAGCGCAGAGCAGAAGCACATGGATCGTAATCCGTGTCATCTGTCTAAAGCCAAATCATCACCGTCATTTTTCACGCAATCTAACGGTTCGCATTCACGTGCGCGACAATTTTCCCCTAAAATATTCAAATTTTCATCCTCCTCTCATATCTCTAAAACTTCTCCCTCCCAAATTTCCACTATATATACACACCTTCCTTCTTCACCTGAAATCACCATTAACACAACTCATTCTCTCTCTCTAGAAATTGTATTCTTTCTTTCTCTAGAAGATCAGAAGCAATGGCCAGAACAAAGCAAACAGCCCGAAAATCAACAGGAGGAAAGGCACCAAGGAAGCAATTAGCTACAAAAGCTGCAAGGAAATCAGCACCAGCAACCGGAGGAGTGAAGAAGCCTCACCGTTTCCGCCCTGGTACAGTGGCTCTTCGTGAGATCCGAAAGTACCAGAAGAGCACTGAGCTTTTAATCCGAAAGTTACCTTTTCAAAGACTGGTCAGAGAAATTGCACAGGATTTCAAGACAGATCTTAGGTTCCAAAGCAGTGCTGTAGCTGCACTACAAGAAGCTGCTGAGGCTTACTTGGTGGGTCTCTTTGAGGATACGAACTTGTGCGCTATTCACGCTAAAAGGGTGACTATTATGCCTAAGGATATTCAGTTGGCTAGGCGTATTAGGGGTGAAAGGGCTTAATGTTTTGTTGTTATGTTTTCTGTGTTTAGGGTTATGGTGAAGTATGTATGGGGTTTCGTTGTGCTTTGCTTGAAATGTAGTGAATATTTCTAAATGAATATCAATCTTCTTATCTGCAAATGATATGACTGTTCAGTGCTTTCTCTGATTTTGGATTTATTTTGGATTTTGATTTAAAGGGAAATAAATTTCCCTAAAATATTCAAATTTGTGACGAGATGGCATTTGGAGATTAGAAGACTGAAAGCCCATACCACTACATTACGCTTTGTTCTATTCTGGTGCTTCTCAAAATACACTACATCAAAAGAGAATATACATGAAGTACCAATATGAACAGGTACAATAACTCCAATTTGTATTTCGGCTATTAAATACTTTTAAGAAAGGAACATCAACAATAAATGCATCAACTTTATAGACAAAAATCACATTTTCCCGTTTTATATAACTATAAAGAAGTGAAATAAAACTAATAAATAAGGAGCAAAGGAGGTTCTCTTCAAAATCATAGCCCATCAATGCCAAAGACAAACCCTGCATACTTCAAAAATAGTAGTAACAAGAAAATGTTAGTCTAAACCATGCGATCCTTATCATAACTAGTCCAAACCAACTTGCATGTTACAGTAAATCCTGTTGACATTGAATTAATTTCCTCAGGAAGAGGGAATATTCCAAGAACATAGCTTTTTGGACCCTTTCTTAACAAGAGTACCCTTGGTTAAGTATCATGACAATTTGAACGAGTTGTTCATGTGCTAAAGAACAAGAAAGGAGCACCTTTGTCCATCTAAAAAGGTAAACCGATGTGCCTGGATAACAAGGTTAAAGTTTGACAACCATTGTTTCAAGTTGCTACCCTCTTGCTCTGTGTCAGCTCTTGGAAAAAAACTTGGTTCCGCTGGGCCAATCCCCACCCTTGCCTCCATGGAGCCAAAGACGATGAGAAAGGGAAATCAGGGTCATAATCCTCCACATTGATAGAGGTCTTTGGGAAAAATCTCTACCTGCACTCCTAAGGTACATATATAGTTCTGCAGGTTCATGCATAGACACATTGAAGAATGAAGACAGAGAACCAAAGAACTCAAAGTCGCTATTGTTACCTCATTGCTTTACCTTGCATCCAGAGGCCAATATCCACTGATTGGTGCAGAATCTGTGGGAGGGATAGAGAAGCAAGGGCAAAGGGATTGATGTTCTTGCTATGACTAAGCAGGAGAAGCAATAACTGATCTCCTCATGCCTACTATCCTCCCTTTGTCTCCACTTGTGTTATCTACTTTCCAGTTGATGAGCTAGGATGTCACGGAAAGATGAATCTTTCAACTAGAATTAAGGATTAGTTATTCGATGCAGTGTTTTGCACATAAGATTATGCCTTTTGAGCAAACATCAAGAATGAACATAAGCTTAGATGAGGCCAATTGCTGTAACAAATGGAAAATGGTATATCCCCTATAATCTCCAATGTCAGTAAAATAAGACCTCTAAAACAAATCAACAGACTATACTTTATAAGAGATAGGTGAATTCTCTCTTTTGGAACGGAAATAGCGGATGACCACCTAGTTTTTGGAGCTGCGGAATGGGGATGCCCTCACTTTCTATTTTAAAATAGGGGCCAAAATAAAACTAGTTTAGTGGAATCGTACAAGAAAATTCAGAGATGTACCTTGTTTTCAAACTTGATAATTTAAAATCAAGAATTGCATTGAGCTACAACAATCAGTGTTAATCTCATAAATAATGAATCTAGTGTACACAAAAGTTATGGACATAATATATCAATGTGTCTCAACATTATTGCTTTCAAACTATAAGAATGACTTATCTTTTAATACAACATCGTTGTACCCGAATATTCTCACAAAACAAGAGATCAACTGCTCCTGGATCACTTCTTCAGAAGGAAGCTCTACATCTGCCTCTTTCTTCAAAGATGTAACACCTTTATCCGCAATCCCACAAGGCACAATATGCTTAAAATAGCTTAAATCGGGATCCATATTGAATGCTAATCCATGAGACGTAATCCCAGATGATATTCGAACTCCAATTGCACCAATCTTTCTGTCCTCAACCCAAACCCCTGTTTCGCATCTTTGTCCAACCTGTGCTTTCACACCATATATAGATGCTAATTCAATCATGGTTAGCTCAAGCTTCTCCACATACTTTCGAGCCCCCAAACCAATATCGCGCAACGAAACAATAGGATACAAGATCGCCTGGTGAGGACCATGAAAAGTAATGTCACCTCCTCTTTGTGTATAGTGAAGTTCTGCCCCCATGGCTTTGAGCTCCGAATCAGGTATGAGTAGATTGTGAACTGTTTGCCTTTTGCCAAGAGTATAAGTAGGTGAATGTTGAAGAGATAATAGGGTATCAGTAATTTTAAGGGCTTTTCTATCAGATGCTAGCTTCTCTTGCAGCTTCAGTGCCTCCAAGTAATTGACGGTGCCCATTTTCCAAACCTCAAGGCTTCGCCTCATTCTTCTGTAAATCATGGAACAATCAGTCATTCATGTGAATTCAGAAAACACCAATGCCACAAACAAAACTAGGAATCCCCCGTTTGTTGCAGAGTCCACGTATGAATCTAAGTCAGCATGAAAGTGGAGACCCTTAGCAGTAATAAAACTGGTACAAACTGACAAGCATGAGAAGCAGAATAAGTGAGTTGTGCTCTTATTGTGGTGGCAAGAGTAGCCTCTGAGGACACAATTCCAACTTGATTTGTTTTCACATAGTAAAGACAAAGATGACACATTACAAGAAAAACGACGAAGTATGCACCAAAGAGTATAACATAAGGAGATGAAACTAAGAGTATAACATAAGAGGATTATGGAAAATTCAATATGTGAACTGGAGATGTCCTCCTCAATCTCGGTTGCTTTGAGACCTGGAAAGTTTAGCTTTTATAAGTCACATAATCTCTCAACATCAAAATGAAAGGTTTGATAAATTAATTGAGCACACACCGTCAAATGAACAATCCTGGATTGATAGCAAAAGAACAGAATAAATTAGCAGTCAGCTATATATGGTCAACCAATCCTAACTTTTCACAAAATCCCAGTTGCCATTTTCTAGTTACCAATTAGATGTAAAACCAATATACTGCTAATACTACCCTTGAAAACATATGAGTCAATTTGTAGAATATCCCATTACTTAATTTTGTAGAATTACATCGAAATATCCACCAAGAATGGATCTTTTTTTCTCTTCCAATTTACAGCCTTCCGATGGAGTTATATTTTTTGAGGATTTCTTGGTCAATAAGGTAAAATTTTCAATACATTTCTAATTGTGAACGAGAGAGAAGTACTTCAATACATTCTTCAATCTAGAAATCAGAGAAACACTAGGAAAGAAAAGAAAGCTACAAAACATATCTCTACACTATAATCAGCAATGGTGAGAACCTGTAATCAGAGAGTGACACACCAAAAGCCTATTGTCCGGTCAATTCTCTGTTCAAATTTCTGTCCGGCGTCGGTGAGAGCAGCTACTCCAACCCATCCACACCTCTCCCTCTATCTATTTCGTTGCCTATGGGATTTGGAAAATTTTATGTTATGTCTCGCACAAAGGGATAAAACTTGTGCGAAACTAATTAACAACATGACAAATGTATGGTGGTCCTTGTCAGCAAAAATAATTCTCACTCTTATATTTGCTTCTTTTAATTCTTTCCTCTCTGTTTCTCTCTCAATGTTACTCTTACATTTCCAAATCTACAGAGGCAATGGTTACCCACAATAATTGTTTTAAATTTTGAGGAATATTTGAAAAAAACTTAAAAATTACTATAGAATATTGGTGAGATTTATAATTAATAGGATATGTTACTGGTGAAAAATTATTCAAAGTTGATGTCTAAACTAAATAATTATAAAATTATGCACTTCATTTGTTCTAATTTATATGGCATAGTTTGAATAAATATGAAGTTTATAAATGAAAGAAATTTTTTTAAAACACGTAATTTAAGATATTTCATAACATGTGTGGCTATCAAAATTTTAAAATTTATAATATTAAACACGTCATAACTTTTATATTATTATAAAAAAATTCATTAAGGATAAAATTAAAAGTTTAAATTGTCCAAACTTAAAAAAATTATATATCACTATTTGAAAAACAAAAGGTTGCCGAAGGCATTTTCACGCCTAAGCTTGGATAAGAATGCTGAGTAAAAAGCTTGAAGAGAAATTCAACAACAAGGAGGTACGAAAAGTCCAACTACCCCAAAGCTATTGTAACAAGATAAAATGCTCTTTAGCTCTGTAGCGAATAATTAAACTAATTATTACTCCTATTAATAACATCGGAATTTACCCTTAAATTTTTCAAAACAACTTTTTAAAAATTAAAATGTTATTGTAAATTATAAGGAGTCATTTGGTTCAATAATAAGGTTAACCCATGGGATTATAATCTCACTTTCTATATGGGATAATTAATCCTAAGTTTTTTATGTAGGTTTTATCCTGGTTTAAGTTAATACTTACAATCAAACGTGAAATAAAATTAATATCAAATTTTATACTGGGATAAACCCTTAAGGTTCATTTGGTATGATGGATAAACAAATATAATTTTGGAATAAAAATTATATTACCTTATCTCTTTTTTGGTTACTAATCTTGGGATAAGTTATCACAAGATTAAAAATAGTACCGAGATAACTTGTACCTGTCAGAGGATAGAATAATAATTTCAGAATAAATTAGTAAAATTGATAATTCAAGAATTAATACAATATCAAACAATCAATAAAAAATAATATAAGTATAATTAGTTCCAGCACAACTTGTTTTCAAACCAAATGACACCTTAATTCTTGTAACTAAACGGGGCCGGAACCAAAGTGTGGTTCTTTTGGACTCAAACAACACAAATAGGTTTTAAAAAAACTGGGCACCATTTTATATATAGCGCGGTTATTTACCGCGCTATACCTTAAAGCTTTGTTCGTTAAGGTATAGCGCAGTGAATAACCGCACTATATATAAAATGTGTCCCCACCAATAATTCATCTGCACTTAACTGACCAACCAATAATTCATATGGGTATAGCGCCTATTATGCATACGCTATACATCAAATAATTGTACCTAGGACTGTTTTTTTTTCTTATTTAAGGAGTTTCAGAATTTGGTAAAAATCCATTCACGATCCTTCAAGTCTTCCGAAATATTTGTTCGTTAAGTTATTTTGCATTTTGTCATAATGTCCGAAGAGCGAAAAATTAGGGTTTCATTATATTGGGGAGGAGGGGAGGGGGGAGGTTGTGGCGGAGAATAACTCAGTATGCTATAGTTATTCTCCATAGTGTCATATTAAGTTGCCACTTACAATGGGGTACGATCGATTTGTCTCGTTGTTATGTAAAAAAATGAGTGTGAGCAAATGTTCGGTGAATATTAAAGTAACTGGAAGATATCCGTATTTTGTTACTCCGCAAGGGGTTGCTTGTTATGCTGAGTTTAACATCGAAGACGATGAAACTCTGACAGATTTTTGAGGACTCCGGATGAACACCGGGAACTTCTTGTGATAAAAATATTGGGAATGTACGTCAAGGCTGAAGACGTTCGCAATAATGTGGTTCCGCAAAGTAGGGATATCTCTCAAACATCGGGTGGTTATTTTGGAGCAGTTTTAGTCGAACAGGTTCCGGGTGAAAGAGTTTAACATGATCTAAACTTATCTCCACACGCAAATGAGGAGCGAGCACATAATTTCTCCCCAAGTTTACATAATCCACAAGCCGAGTGGTAAACTTTAATTTTTCTTTATGTTACGATGTTTATTTTTATGTATTGAATTTATATTAACACTCACATATTCCACATGGAGTACCGACTAGATATGAATTTTACAAGTTATGAACCAACAGACAATTGAAATATGCCTAGTTTTGGTATGTTGGATCATGGTGGTCCATCCGGGAGTCATCACCAACAGAATAATGTGCATCATTGGATATCAACGCATTATGATTTGTAAGTGAAGTGATAAAGTTTATATGTAAAGTTTGGATGAATTTGAGAAACTCATTATTTTATTGGTTGTGCAATGAAAACGAGCAACTTGAAGGCCATGTCTTTACTCAATTGCCCGAAGATGATATATTTAATCGGGATCTGGCAGATGCGCAGAGTCAGGAAGATGATAGTGATTATGACAACAATGCTGACGAGTCTGGAGATAACACACCCTTCCCAGATGAGGGTGACAGTGATGAGGACGAGAATAATGAACCTAATTTGACGAGGGGGCATGCTCCACCTCCCATTAGACCAAGAGTGTACGAGTCCCATGTGACGTTTCATTCAAGGGATGCTCCCTACCTTGATCAGTTGCCAAGAATGCCGGATGTCGATGCCCTCACAAGGGATCTTGACAAAATTCGGACAGTAATGTGGGATAAATCTAGAGCAACGCTGCTGTCAAATGGCATGCTTTTTGCTAATAAAGCGTGCCTAAGCAAGGCGGTGCGAATGTACATCATAAAAGAGTGTCGTGAGATCGTGGTTCATGAGTCATCTCCGCAAGTATACAAGGTTATTTGTCGTAGATGGTTTTAAGGTTGTAATTGGATGTTGCGTGCGAGAAAGTTGAAAATAAATATGTGGATTGTGGGGAAATACATTGGCACCTATAATTGTGAAATGGGCACATACTGTGAGAATCATTTTAACATGAATGTTGACTTAATTTCTCTTGTCTTGATTCCACACATTGAAGCGTCCATAAGGTACAAGATCAAAGAGTGTATAACATCTGTCCACCAGGTATATAGATGTACCATTACCAAAAGAAATACATTTCTCGAGCGTAAACGTGCGTTTGAAATTGTTTATAATAACTGGGATAAGTCATTTGCCGCTCTATCCAGGTACATGGCTGCATTACAACACTTTAACCCCGGGACTGTTGTTGAATGGAAGCTTGAACGGAGTCCGGGAATACCAGAATACATATTCAGATATGTGTTTTGGGCATTTAAACCAACCATTGATGGTTTTGTACATTGTCGGCTGGTAATATCCATAAACGACACTCATAATGGAAAGTATGATATTAAGTTGTTGATCGTCGTTGCAGTAGATGCTAATGAAAGTATATTTCCCCTAGCATTTGCTACTTGTTCCAATGAAAGCCAAGAGACATGGGCATTATTTTTGAACCACTTGAAGAAGACGTTTTCAAATAACATTCAGGTATTTGTCTAATATTTGATCGGCATGACAGTATTTTAAGTTTTGTACAGAATTTGCGTGCATGGCAGGAACCGTATGCCTACCACCGTTAATGTGTTAGGCACTTGAAGGCTAACTTCTAGAGGGCTTATCCTAACACGGACTTGTATGATTTAATGTGGATGGTTGCAACAGATTACCAAGAGTGTAAATTTAGGAGGCGAATGGAATTGATTAGGCAGGAAGACCTAGAAGCCTATCGTTGGTTGATGCGACATGAGCTTGACAAGTGGACTTTGCATGCGGATGGTGGTAGAAGATGGGGAATTCTGACTACAAATATGTCATAGTCTTTCGATGGGTTATTGAAGTCTGCACAATGGCATTCATTTTTGCAGTATTGCAGCGAGCGAAATATTTTTGAAGTTCGCATTGGTCTGCATCACAATCGTGGGAATAATACACACACCGTCAATGAAGCCAGAAGATTATGATCATGTGAAAAATGATAAATCTATCACTTGCCATGCTCACATGCCATGAAGTGTTTTCAACATACATGTTTCGTGTCAACGAGGTACGATGATAAAGAATATAGTGTTGCTGCATACTTAAACACCTATAATGGACAGTTACAGCCAGTGAGTGCTGAGCATTATTGGCTGCCATAAATATTTAAAATGGTGTGTAACAAGGATTATGTGTGTCAACGGCAAGTGCAAAAAAGAACGCGTATACGGAACCAAATGGACGTTGGTGATAACGTTTATGCACGTAAATGTGGCATATGTTCCCCGACAGGACACAACCGCCGTAAATGTCCTTCAACTAGTTTGGGAAGCGGTGGTAATTCAGCTCCAGGTGGCAATTCATCCAATGTGCCCAATTATCAAGGATAAATGTAGTGTTTTATTGGAATAATTTTGTTGTACTAAATTTATGTAAATGTTCAGGTTGCAAAATGTATGAAATAAAATTATGTTTCCAGTGGGGTTAAATCTAATTGATATTTAGAATTAAAGATTCAATACAACAATTTAACATACACCCCAAGGAATAAAAAATAATTGTCATTCTCCATATCGTTGCTGTCTGGCACTATTTCATTGTCACCGATTTCATATTCTTCGTCAACATCTTATACGCACCCTTAGGGACCAAGGGCATCGTAATCTAGGCCCCATTTGACACACATTTCTCGTATTTCATCGCTATCATCAATAAGACCACTTGCTTAATTTCTACAATAATATGGGACTCCTACGTCCAACGTCTGTGGTAGAAACTTAGGTAGTCCCTCCCACTCGACAACTGTTGGGGAAACAGGATAATTATTGTCTCTATGCAATTTTTTATTTTCTAATAAATTCAGTACTGATCCTCCGTTCCTTCCAGGTAGTTAAGATCATCCATTGCATGATGAAAAAAAATGCCTTTTCCATCTCTAGAATCTCCTTCATCAAATGCCGAATCACTTCTGGTTCATCTTTGTGTGTGTTTGTTTGGAAGGTTGCAGACAGTGCTTGTAGTACAACAAGCCCATGCCAGTGATATAGTACTTCATAATCACATCGTTTTGAGTCAAGGGGAAGCCATTGTAGTTTTTCGCACCAAATTCGCATACCTTCAGGCTTTGTAGAATGCGCTTCACCCTTAATAATGTGCCCTGCAATTTTGAGATCAGTGTGTATATTGATAGGCTTATTTTCCAAGGGACGCAGAACACCATACCACTTGTCATCAACCAAATCAGTATAGCAACCTAGCATATTGTTTTCAAGGTAGAGAGATGATGTCGAACCTCGAACTCGCGTCCGTAGTCTCGCTTATCAACCCACCTCAAAGAAAAAGGGAGAAACGGTAGAGGTGGTGCATCCGGAGCCATCGGTGGTAGAGGTGGATGGAACTATAGGAACCGCTCCCAGGCCCAAACCTAATATAGACTATAGATGTAAAATTAAGGTATTTTCTTACTATGTATGTTATAATCATGAAAATAATTGACTACGTTTTCACCTGCAGCAGCGGTAAAAATCCGACAACGTCTCTCTGGGTGCCCATGCACGCCGACACATCTGCCTATACAGGTAACCTAGAACAACTGCACCCCAGCTGTAACCAGGTAATTCATCTAGCTGCTCCAGATGATGTAAAAATATCAAGCTGACTAGGTTCCCCGAAGTGTTCGGGAACAATACACCACCAAACATCAGCATCAACAACAATCTCGTGTGCCAGTCGATATCCTCCGCTAGTGAAGCATCAATAATCTCCGCATCCATCGCCTCCAGATGCTTTCGGACGGGCGTCATCTGCAATTGACTTGCCCCACTCAATGCAGTCTCCTCCGCTGGCTGGAAACAGGTGAGTCGCTGCAACATATACAGGTAATGCACTTCCCTATAGTCTCTAAGAGCATGCGGGTAAGCTACATGCAATCCATCAATCGGAAACCCGAAGAGAACCTCCACGTCCTCAAGCGTGATGGTAGCCTCGCCGATGGGTAAATGAAACGTGTGCGTCTCCGGTCGCCACCGCTCTATCATAGCCTTGATCAACACCAGTCGAACTGCAACCGGCCCATCTCTATGATCATGTAGAAACCCTTATCCTGAAGGTGTGTCACTATACATGGATGGAGTGGGTGGTCCCTAATGAACTCCCACATATCGTCTATACGTCTGGGGCGGAATGTCTGGGACAAACACTGCCCATCCCAGATGTATGAAGACCTATGGTTGCCCTGTAGCAATAGTAGCTCTCAAGATACAGGTCCGGGATGCACATGGGAAACCTCTATGATGATGTCTGTAAATTGAACAATATTAATTAAAGTATTTTTCTTTTTGATTGCTTAACGTCTTTAAATATATTACAATATATTTATATTAATATTTAATCGATATTTTTACTATATTATTACTTAAGTTGATACATTTTCTATATTATTATTTTATATGTTAATTTATTATTTTATATGTTAGGTTATTATTTTATATATTAGTTTATTATTTTATATGTTAGTTAATTATTCTATATGTAAGTTTATTATTTTATACGTTAGTTTATAATTTTATATGTTTGTTTATTATTTTAGTTAGTTTATTATTTTATATGAATGTGGGATACTTTGTGCACTGAACTGCTTTTTTTTTTTAATGTTTAAAAAGAAAAACAATTGGATGCAATTTTGATTTTCTAAGTTACATGTTGTAAGCTAGTATGTTGATATATATGATGTAGTAAGCGATTAAATCCTTGATTATTATACTATGATCAAGCTAAAACAACTTTCTTTTTGAGAGTTGAGATAAAATCTTTGATTATTATACTATGTTTTTATATGTTTGTTTNATATATATATATGTGTGTGTGTGTGTGTGTGTGTGTTTATTATTTTATATATTTATTTATTATTTTATATATTTGCTTATTATTTTGTATGTTAGTTTATTATTTTATATGTTATTTTATTACTTTCTATGTTTGTTTATTATTTTATATGTTAGTTTATTATTTTATAACTATACACGATATAATTAACAAGTATTCATATAAAAATACTTACTTTGACAAATATTCTTGTTTTTATGTTATTTTCTTACATTTGTTGACTAACATTCGAGAGAGTTTGTGTTTTAACTATCATCTTTTTTCTAAATTTTTTTGGGGTTAACAAATAATTAAATGATTAATTTCAATAACTATAAAGATACTATGCTAAAGGGCACTATATTTTACTATGCTAAAGGGCACTACATTATAATTACGGATACAACATAATACTAAAGGGAACTAAACAATAATAAAGTCACATAAATAACATTAATTATTCATAAAATAATAATTTATCAATTTTACTAATCTTTTAGCACATAAATAATCTAATCCGGATAAAAAATAATAAATTAATTTAATCATAAAACAATCACTAAAATACATATACCACAGTAAAAAAATAACTAATAAATATTTTTTATAACAACTAATAACATTAATTATTCATAAAGTAACAATTTATCTATTTTACTATTTTTTACCACAACAATAATCTAATCCGGATAAAAAAAAAATTTAATTAAATTACAAAACAATCACGAAAAAACATAGATCACAATAAAAAACAACCAATACACGTTTTTTATACACGAGTTTGAACAAAAAGTAAGTCGGAATACCTCGATTTATAATTTTTTGAAAGGTGAAGATTTGGCTAGCGTTTGGCCATAGATTCTCAAATTTGTTTTGACAAATATGATTTGGGTGAAGTTTGGTTTGAAGATAAAAATGTGTTTGGACATAAGTTTTCAAAACATATTTCACTTTTGTTTTTTGAAAAAACATGAAACATGACTTATACTCACAAGTTCTAAAAACTATCACAAATACCCATCCATACCTTTATCAATAACATTCATTATATTATCGCAAATCATAGTCCTGAACATAAATAAATTTAGTACAAAATTATCATTTTTATAATAAACTACATAATACACTATCAGATGACTGAGAAGACGAAGCAACAGTGGGGCAAAATAATAAACGGTGAGCTCATTTATAAAATACAAAGTTTGGGGCAATTTTAAAAAAATATAATAGTGATATTTTGTGCCAAAATCAGTTCTTGAGCTGGTTTTGGGAATTTGTCAAAATGTAGATAAAATCTATGGCCAAACATGTATTTGCCAAAAAACTCCGAATATATTTTGGCAAAATCTATGGCCAAACGGGTCCTTGATGATTTGGGGACCGAAACGAGCAATCCACTACGCGATAATGCCTTAGATCCGGTGTAAGCTTGCTATAATACCGAGAAGATACACTTTTTGTGGGACGGGTGGGATCCACTTAGTTTTTTTCTTTAAATATGGAGGGGGACCGCTGGAATGGGGAAAGGGGGATGGCACTGGTTTATAGCCGGGGAAGATGGAGGCCCTCGTTTTTATGTATGTATAGCGCATGTATTCACTGCGCTATACTATAGCGCTCTGTATACATGCGCTATACATCCCGCCCTTTTTGAGTTCAAATATAGCGCGGTTATTCACCGCGCTATATATAAAATGGTGCCTAGTTTTTTTTAAACTTATTTGTGTCGCTTGAGTCCAAATGAATCATACTTTGATTCCGGACTCGTAACTAAACGACCCCTAAGAAGAAGCAGCAGCAATAGTTATCACGCCCAACTATGCCTCCTAAGAGGTCTAGCGGTCGTTGCAAATATAATCTGGTTTACAAGTCCGGAGTCGAATCCCACAGGGAAATAACGCACTAATTACAACCAATAGTTTTTTGCACGAATTCAAGTAATCAACCTTCAGAAATATTATATAACGATTTGAGAGTTTACTAACTAAGATCAAAGTAATGAAAATTGCAGTAATTTATAACTAACAAAGCAAATATTGTAGACAAGATTTGGAAAAGTCTAAGGTTATGATTTTCCCTATTGTCGGAACCTTTCCCACTATGTTTTCTACGAATTTGCCTAAATATTCTCTACCAATCGTGAGTACTTTGATTGTCGTAGCTCTCTCTCGAGCAACTACCACAATTTACTAAACGTATTCTCTCGAACTACGCTAGCTGACACTAATTTACCGCTCACTACGATCGCACCAAGGCTTTATTATCTCTAATCCCGCCTTTAAACCCTCTTTATCGATCTCTCAACTACGTTAGGAGTGGTGTTGTTCAACAATTGCCTAAATGTGTACTCTCTCTCGAGCAATATACACACTAAATAGGCCCAGTTAATTGAGAGCTCTTCAATTAACAACAATGAAAATATAGTTGAACAAGTAGAGAAAAATTAAAGGCAAATCTATATTAAACGCAGTAGAAAATCATCCTCCAATAGGTTCCATCAAACCTTAGATAACAAATTAGCTATTCATAATAGTATGCATAACTACAATACTAGAATTTATAACCGGTAATGAAAATAGAGTAAGAAAGAAGGAGAAACTTGAAGTCGAATCCTTTTTCCTTGCTCCTACGGTGTTCTTGCCTCCCCAAAGTGTTCTCTACCTCAAGAGTGGCGGCTCCCTTTGCCTCTCTAATCGCCCCCATAAAAAAATAGGTTTAGAACCCCTTTTATACATGTTGGGGGCGTGTAGGGTGAAACCCGTCCTTAGCCGTTTCGCTTGGCGCCTGGCGTCAACCAGGACACCGAAATTTTCCACATTGTGCCTTTGGCGTTTTGGTTGGTGCCTGGCACCAACCTGGACACCAAACTCATGCTTCCTCTGAATTCTTCTGTTTTTACTTCACTTTACATGCAAGCTTGCCAAATCACTTCAAATTGACTCCTATGCATATAAATATTATTATTACATTCAAATCACAAATATTTACGCTAAAATTAATAAGATTAAGATATGATGCAAGGCAAATATGAATTTTCAGCCTGACATCAAGTAGCAAAACAAGAATCAGAATGGAACAGAATAAGCGTAAGTACAAAAATTACATTATCTTCTGCTAACCACTGGTACCATGGCTCACGCTTCTCTCTCCACGTGTCATCCGAAACTTCCATTGACATCAGATAGGCCCAATCCCCTTCATTTTCCCAGATTACCCTTTTTTATCTATTGTATTTCTCGTGTCAGCATCGAACTGCGTGCCACCCCATTGACATACTAGTTGCATATAATAGTAAAAATTAGTCTATTGCTGTGTTGTTGGAAAGTTGGCGAAAAGAAAGGAAGAGTTAGGTAGCCATGGATCACGCAGCGGATGCACACAGGACTGATTTGATGACCATAACAAGGTTCGTGTTGAATGAGCAGAGCAAATACCCTGAATCACGCGGTGACTTCACTATCTTGCTCAGTCACATTGTTCTTGGCTGCAAATTCGTCTGTACTGCTGTTAATAAGGTTAGATTTTTATTTATTTATAAATATTGTGGTACAGATGACTGATATGGCTAACTATAACTAATTTGGGATCAAGGTGTAATTCATTGATTCATATAGCCAATCCCAATTGAAGCATAGTTGACTGATATTGTTGTTGCTAACTTTGTACATGTCTTTACTTGGATTGACTTTTTTTTCTTTGATTGACTTAGTGGGCGTTTGGACATAAGAAATGTGAAATTCCGGAAAAAAGTGAAAATGATATTTGAAAATTGGACTTGTGTTTGTACATGAATACAATTTGGAGTTGTTTTTTAATTTCTCTAAGTGATTTGAAGTGAAAATTTTGAAAAATAGTTTTTTGTAGTTTTTCAAATTTCCGAGAAATTCCGAAATTCAACTTCAAAGTGAAATTTGAAATTTTCATGGCCAAACACTGATTCCGAAGAAAGTGAAAAAAATTTATGGCCAAACGGGCCCTAAGATTCTTGCTTAATCAAATTGTTTTTAGCTAGAAATTTGAGTCATGGTCAATTTCCTCATCCAATCATCTATGCACACGCGCTCGCCCGCGCGCACACACTGCTCTTTTGTAAAGGCAATATGGTTTTTGAGTTTTATTATACGTATGATGGGTTGCCATCTTGCTTTAAAAGAGGATTTCTTTGCTTATGCTA